ACAGAAAAACACTAATTTGAATGGAAACCTACACTCCTATGTTTATTGCAGTGCTATTTACAGTAGCCAAGATATGGAAACAACTTAAATACCCCAAAACAAACAAATGGATCAAGAAGATGCAGTGTATATACACAATGGAATACTACTCAATGATCAAAAAAGATAAACTCATGCCATTTGAGGCAACATGGATGGAGCTGGAAGGGATTATGCTCAGTGAGATAAGTGAGAAGGAAAACAAAAAATATCAGATGGTTTCATTTATATGTGGAACATAGAGAAACAAACACAGGGTCAGGGAAAAGACAAAACTTGCAATCTGACCATAGGTGAGGCATACAGCAGGGGAGGGGAAGAGAGGGGTCAAAACAGGGGGTCCTTCCTGGCAGCCTTTGTGATGTGAGTTCAATCCCCAGCCAGCTGGGAGCAACCCACATGACGGGGCAGACCTCTCCTGTCTCTGCCTCTGCTCCCCTCAGCAGTGTGTTTCAGTATATCTGCCTGTTCTGCTCCCCACTCTCTCTGGTGAATCTTCTCACTCCCTGCATCTCTGGCCTGTACCCAACTTCTGAAAAAAAAAAAAAAAACGGGAGGGAAGGGGACAGTGGAGATAGATTACAGTAGCCGTAGTGGTGGGAGAAATACAGGGATGACACCTAAGGGGACAAATCAAAACTGCCCCCAAATTAGCAATGATGTAAGGGGGGGAAAGTGCTGAAAATAAAAAGAGAGAGACCAGCTCAGGCAAAGGATGCCGGGTATAGTGGAATCCTGCCTCCTCCACTGAGCTATTCCTCACAGGAAGGGAGTGGCTGCTTGAGAGGAGCTGCTCTGGCCCCCACAGTTGTACTGAGGGGCATGCTCGCTCCCCTCGGACACTGGCTCACTCTATGCACACACACACACACACACACACATCCCTCCCACCTCTGCCTTCCACATTGCTCTGTCATACTTGCCACCTCACAGGAACCTACTTCAACATGCCACTCGCTGAACCTCAGTTTACACTAGTTCTTGATCAAGTCCAGAATGCCCCACCTTTCTACCAAGGAGACATCAGCATCGGAGTTAGCCATGAATAAGCCATGTAGTCTGTCTGAACCTGTTTTCCCAATGGCAAGTACTACCTACCTCACAGAGTTGGAGTGCTAACACGGTGGGTCTGGCCTATGTCAGGATTTCATTGCACCAGTACCATCCCCACACCAATACTTGTGCCTCGGTGCACCCAGCCTCACGTTCTCTATACTCCGCCTGTGGTGGCAGTGCACATTCTGGCTCCCCCACCACCACCACCCTTTCACTCCAGCGTGCCCACCTGGCACGCCCTCTTTCCTGCTCTCGGTCTGGTCAAGCCATTCCCTCCTTGAGCCCTGCGAGTCTTTCCCCTCTGGCTCTTTCCCCTTTGGCTCAGTACTTCTCAAACTTGGCAGCACATTAGAATCACTGGGGAGCTTTTAAAAATCCCTCTGTACAGACCACAAAGTGACAGCCTTCTTGGCTTTCCGAGCTGGGTGGGACCCCTTCCCTCTCCCAGTTCCCACCCCTGGTGGTTTTGATTTGCTGGCAGCTTTGAGACCAGCCCTCTCAATTCTCCCGTCTCAGAAGACTGCAGTTTGACCCAAATTTACCCGGTGACTTTCCCTCTTTGACACTCCCCAAGCAAGACCAAGTCCTTGCAAGAAGGTGACAGGTAGGATCCAACACAGCACTCTCCTTCCCACAGTCAAGTCAGGCGGTTGGCCGGGAGGTTGGTGGACACACAGGAAGCCATTTATCTCTCTCTGCTCTCCCTGAAGCCCTGCCTGCTTGGCAGTAGCCACCACTTAGATTCCTTAGGAACCCGAGGCCTCTGTCTTGTCTGCATGTGGCTCTCAGTGGGGACTCCTCAAAGCAAATCCAAAGAGCTTACCCTGCCCTGCAGGCAGCCTGCTCCTCAAACTGGCAGGGTCAGAGAGTCTCATGCACCAGTTCACCCACTCCCAGGCCCTGAGCCGCCCTTGGTCTCACCCCCTGTTGGTTGATCCTGGAGGGGAACTCCGGGAAGAGGGACAAGCAGGCTGTTGCAGAAAATGCTCTAAAGTGGCCATGGAAACCTCTCCCACACTTCTTATTATGTAATCTCCCCCCCCCCGCCCCCGCAATCAAGGACAAGAGATCACCTGTCTCCCCTTGACCTGGATGGTAAGGTGGAAGCAACTCTTGAGGCGAGGTCAAAAGGTGAGCCAGCTTCCACCTCTTCTCCCTCCTGGGACTCTGGTTGTCAGAACCCAGCCCCACACTGAGGAAGCAGGGCCCTTGAGAAGCCAGCACAGATGTCTGGCTGGCAGCCCGACCCAAGCCTCAGCCCACAGCCAGCGCCACCGCAGACGTGGCGTTAAAGAGCCTCCAGATGACTCTGGGCCGGCCACCATCCGGATGTCAGGGAGGCCTGACAGCCAACTCCGGAACCCATGAGAGGTGATCATCATAATGAGGTAGTGGTTGTTCCACACCAAAATGTTCAGGTGGTTTCTGTGCCAGCCACAGACAACTGGTACACGGGTCCTGAAAGTGGGCCCGAAGGCTTTGGGGCAGGGAATTCTGGGGTCCCTGGGCCTTGAAGAGGGCGTGTGTGCCCTAGGAGGTAACTCTCCTGGTCCAGCAGTCCCTGGTCATGGAAGGGGACAGCTGGAGGAATGCCCAAGTAGGGCCCTCAAATCTGAGGCCCAAACAGAGCCCTGGCAGGATCTGAAGGGTCCACTGCCCCCAGGCGTACACCCCGGAAGCCACTCAGGGATGACAGTGCTAACATCTCACTCTGGCCTTCTCAGTGGAGGAAGTGGAGCCGAGGGTGAACAGCCCGTTTGTGGTGGGACTGGAGCTGCCACCCAAAGCCATGTTTGACTTGGCTCTCACTGTGGTTTTTTTAGAAAAGGAAAATGTTGCCAACATTTAAAAATTGAGGACTTCAAATAAAATCCTGTAGATGTATAAATATGTATTTTCCCCTGCCTATAGAAACAAATAGACTAAGATTTTTTCTTAAAAACCAGGCGAGCTGGCCCCACTGAGTCTACATTTCCTTGTGGCCACAACTAGGCAGAGCTGGGCATTAACGGGGCAGCAGGGGGAGAGAGGCTCCCTGTGCAGCACCCACAGTCCCCATCACATCCTGTCATCTTACGCTTCCTGGACTTCCCACATTGTGCTCACTGGGAGCATTTGGCTTTGGAATTCGCAAGTCTCCTTAGCTCGACAGCCACCAGAGCCCATCACTTACTAGCTATGTGACCTTGGGAAGTCACTTACTTTTTCTGCCTGTTTTCTAGTCTATAAAACTACCATACACCTACCTGGGAGCACTGGGGTGCTCCCAATAAAGTAAAATGCACGGAAAAGACTTTCCTAGTCTTTAGCATAGAATACTTTGTAAATAATTCAATTATCACAGGAGTTTTTGTTATTTGAGGTCTTGGGCCATATTCCCTAACCACCATGTCCCATGGCTCCCACTCAGCCCCCACAACTGTCTCCCAAGGCCCAACTCTGTAAATCCATCCCTGGGGCCAAGAGAGCCCCTGGACAGGAAGCTGCCCTGAGCTGCAACTTTTGTTTTCAAATGTGACTATTAGTATTGGGCCAACCTGGGTGTGCTGGGTACAGAAGGAGCATGCAGGAGCCCCAGCAGGGAGTCTGCCAGAAGCCCAGCAGAAGGACCACCCCCAGTTATTCACAGGACCTGGGGGCTAGGGAGAACTCAGTTGGTCACTTTTGCGCCTCTTTCTGCACCCCAAGACCAGAAAGGATTGATCTTTACCAGACCCCAGGTCTATGATCGCTGTGGAATAAGAGCTGATGCTGGGGCCAGGGTCCTATTTTTGAGAGCAACCACCCCAGAGTGGGGGGACAGAGGAACTAAGGTTTTCCTCAGGAAGAGCAAGCCCAGGAGGGTGGCATCAGCTTCTACAACTCAAGCTGAGTAACTTACTTCAGCTGCATTTTGCTGGTGATTTCGTGCAAAAGCAAACAACCTAAAGGCCAAGTTGGGCTTCAGATCAGGCTGCTGACATTCAGCTATGTCATCCTGGACACAACCAGCAACCCACCCCAGCTACTTAAATCTGTTGAGTGCAGATGGGGAGGGTTATTGGCATATCTGGGCCTCTAGAAGAACAATCTTGCTTTCTCATCTTCCCTAAAAATAGCGCAACTTCAACAAAATTCCCAAGTACCTGGTCTACTAGGGAGGTGTGGTTACACAGGACAGTGGCCTCTGGGCTCAGTGAGACTTGGGTTTGCTTCTCGGCTCTGCCACTTACCAGCTGTGTGATCTTGGGCAAGCTTCTTAACTCCTCTGTGCCTCAGTTTCCTTATCTGTAAAATGGTGATAACAGTATCTCATATGAATGCTTTGAGGAAGAAATGAGTGACTTTCCCTGTCCCTTCGCAAAGGGAAGGTGCACCTGTTTGTACCAGGTGGGCAGAGCTTTGTGCCTGGCACATCATGCACCACTGACCAGCTTGGGGAGGATCAGCCTGTGCCTGTGCTGATTAAATCACAACCACCCCCCCCAGCACGCTGCCATGGCTGCTGAATTACTGAGCAGAAGTTAAAACAGAATGGGCCTTCAGCCCTCACCTGATGGGGAAGATTCCTTAGTAAAGTGTGGGATGGAGCAGCTGCCACTGGAGGGGGCATCCCGGGGTGGTGGTGAGCAGTTTCTCAGCAGGTCTCTCCCCTGCAGGTATGCAGCGCTGCAGGCTGAAACTCATTTGCCATAATCACGGCTGGGTATGAGGATCCTCATGGCCCCAACCCTTCCATGGAGCCACTCCCTTGCCCTAACTCCACACGGCCTCTACCACAACTCACCACAGCCGTGATGAACTTCTGCTGGGGAAAAAGTACTTCTCCACGCAGCTCACTGCCAAGCCAGGCAAGTACTCCAACTCGACAGAATTATCAGCACGGCGCTAACAGTGACAGATGAACTGAGAGACGAGTGGGGACAGCGAGCAAACAGATGTATTTCCCAGCTCTAAGATTCCATCTGGACTTCCCCCCAACAAAAGACATATTTTTCTGCAGAGGTGTCCATAGACCTGTGTGTTAGTCCACTTTCTTCTCCCCTCCCCCCACAAAAAAAATAAATTTGGGGAGTGACCAAGTTAGGAGCAGGAACCCAAGTGGACCTGGGCATCTTCCTACCCAAGGAGACCCGCATGACCCCAGCCAGAGGCTGCTGGAGGATCAGGGAAAAAAGAGGCTGAAAAATGCAGTTCTTTGGTGAAACAAGATTGCTGTCTGCAGGGTGAATGGAAAACAGTCCACTTCAATCCAGTGGGAATGACTCTCTCTCCAGGCATTCTGTCTTCTGGGACCCCCAGCAGCCAGTTAGGGATTGGAACTGTTCACCCCAGCTGCAGGTCCTGTGGGGGAAAGATTCCCAAATGATCAACCAGAAGGTTCTCACATAAATGATCTATGGTCTCAGATAGGCCAGGGGGTGCCCACGCAGGGGAAACTAGAGGTCCTGTCCCCCTGGAGCTGTCTCTCTGCACAGAGGTGGCCCAGTCCCCCATTGGTACCTCGTGGAGCTGCTAAATAACTTTACCGCTCACTGCCTAAACAGTCCCATCCATCAAGCAGGACTCAAGACACTCTTACCAAGTGGTATTCATATGTCTGCAGTAGAGTATCTCAGTAGGCTAGCACCTGGGAGCTGAATGCTGGATCAAAGGGCATGTCATTAAATATTTTGAAAAATATTGAACACTCCCAGCATTCACTCTTGTGTCAAAACACTTTTATTCCATAACAACCTTGAAATTTCAACTGCACAAAAAAACATCTATTTTCTAGCTTACTTGCCTGCAGCTTAGCCGGGGTTGGCTTATCCAGGCTTGGCCACAGCCCTTCTCAAACCACTAGCTCCTTGGGAAATGTTATTCTCATGGTAATGGCAGGAACACAAGAGGAACAAGTAGAGCCTCAAAACTGGCCACTTCCAACCCACTCACTAGCCCCATTCCATCAGGAAGGCAAGCCCCAAGCCAGTCAGTGGGATAGGGAGGCCCGCTGCTCACGCCAAGTCTGGAACAGCGATCCAGACTATACAACTCTGTGTCATGTGTCTGCGTGCATGTGTGTGTGCTTACCTTCACACTCGTATATACAAGAATATACTTCAACAGTTTGTGCTACTGAAACCTACAGAAAGCCCAAATATTCATCAACAGGAGTGAATACAAAAGACACACCTCATGGATACAGGAAATTCAGTGCAGTTAATAAAAAGAATGGGGATTGTCTCCATGAAAATGAAAGCATGGAAAGATTCCTCAAGGCATGCTAAGTAAGCGAGCTACAGAGGAATATAAGCAGCATGATCCCTTTAGGGGAATAAACACCCCTTGTTGTGTGCCTGTGTGTATATGTGTATACATATGTACATGTGTTTATATGGGTACATGCATGTATGTGTATATGTGTGTCTGTATGTGCACATATGTATGTGTGTAAATACGTGTCTATATAAAGGAATGTTTATATTGTATATGAAATTCTTTTTTTACATTAGAATACCGGAAGATAAAAATCAGAAAATAACATTATTAGGTGCTTGAGACCTTATTCAATACAAATGTTCTAGGAACTCAGGAAGGCTTCTCCAAAACCAGAGCTGCATGCCCTCCCCAGCCATGCACACATCTGTCCCAAAGACACTTTGGGAGACAGACTCACATGAGAGACCAGGGGCAGGAAAGGAGTGCTTCTACTGTGAGCTGGACTTCTGCCCAGGCAGCAGAGGCCTCGAGCAGGTAACAGCTGACGCATGAGGCCAGCAGTCCTCATGCTTCTCCAGCCGTTGAGCCCTGGCCTCTGTCCAGCTGTCTGCTGGCCTGGTAAGACCAGAGTGTCAAAGAGCCCCTGAAGCAGACAGGAGAGAGGCCAGGATGTCCACAAGGCCCTGAACAACAGGAGCAGCCCAGCTGGCAGTCCAGTCCCAGATAGCAAGATACTATGCCTGTGCAAGAGCCCCTGCCCGGGAAACCGGGGGCCCTGCTGGCCTCCCTCCTCTTGGGGGAGGGGCAGCAGAGACAGGAGGCAGGGACAGTGTTATCACTATAATCATAACCATTTCCTCCAGACCTCTATACCTGCTCCGTCCCGTATGGCAGCCACTATCCCCATGAGTCTATTTCAATTTAATTTTAAATTAAATTAAATAATAAAAGCTCCAGCTGTTCAGCTACACAAACATTTCACATATTCACTAGGCACCTGTGGCTGGTGGTTACCGTGATGGTGGCCCAGAGAACACACCATCCACGTGGGGAATTCTGCGGGCAGTGCTTTGTTCTGCTTAGGGCTTTGACTCCAATGTGAAGTGATGGTGTCATCCAGGCCCCGCACTGGACACAGAACTTGGAAGTGGGAGCGATGAATCCCTCTTCTATTCTGACATCTTTAACACTCACTTTTGAAACTGTCTGTGATTTGCAATACCCTGGGAGGCCCCTGTAAGATGTCTGACCGAGCAGACTAGGGCAAATTGTCTCACATGGGTGGTATGTTCAGGACCCATTCTCTTATAGGGGCAGTCCTAGAAGAGCAAAGAAACCTCCATCTGCCTCCTCTTCCTTGTCCCTTGTAAGGAAAGTGGAACTTTTTAGTACAGGAAGATGGCTTCCAAACCGAAAGAAGTCTGGCTTCTGCCCCCACCATTGCACAGCATATTATTACAATCCTTGTGCAATCTCTGGGACCAAATTTCTGCTCTCAAACTCATGCTTCCGCCCACCCCACCTCTGCCATGATGTCACACTCTGATACCCTTCCTGCTTAGAACCCAGCCTCTGGTCAGACAGCAGCCCTGTGACTCCATCCCCCACAAAGCTTGTCCCAGGCCCTTTCCCTCATTACTCTTCTCCAGAAGTTGTCAATTGATTGCCCAGCTGATGGGCTGAATCTAGCCATAGATGCAGATTACTTGGCCCATGCAGCATTTTTGCAAAATTTGAGTAAACTGTCCCACCAAAACAGGAAATTTCACATAAAAATCTAGATTCTGGCTTCCCTAGGCAAACCCGAAGCTCTTACAAGCCCATGCCTATCTTCCAAAATGGGAATAATCCAGTGAAAATCAAGCGAGTTTCCATTTTCTTCCAGCAGTGGTATACTGGTACTTCCGTTTGCCACAGACCCCACTGCTCCCGAATGTCACCTAACTGAGCCTGAGTCCTGTGGGCATTGGAGTGGGGAACCCTGTTTTCATTGTTTCTCTCTATTCTCATTGTTCTCTTTACTCTCCATCTCCATTTCCCAAGCATTCTGCCCTTACAGACCTCTGGGGGGTTCCAGGGTTCTTCCATGCTGGACTTTCACCACACCTCCAGACTCCATGTCTGTCTGTGACCTAGATCTCCTGTGGGTATCCCGGCAGCACTTCCACCTTATGCATTACCCCAATGCCATCTCCCCTCCCTCCACAGACCACTCCCCCACCAAATCTCAAGAATGGACCACAGCTCACACCGCTCAAGTTCATTGCCTCTCAACCTTTGCTGCATTGTCCTTCTTCACCTGAAGTAACTGGCCTCCTGATAATAGCAGCCAACAGTTATTCCTTCACTCAGCAAGTATTTTTTTGAGCACCTACGTGCTGGGCCCTATCCTGGGGCAAGGACCAAAGCAAACAAAAACCTCTATACCTGTTAGTTTACATTGTAATGGAGGAAGTCATAGTAAACAAGGTGAACAAGAAAGAAGATATTAGTGCTTTAGATGGTAGCAAGGAACCCTGTGGGTGAGTAAATCAAGTCGGGTGAGCATCGCAGGAAAGGAGTCAGGGAGGTATTTGATGGGGAGGTAGTTGCAGATCCATTTGCAGTGCACCAAATAGACATGTTAGATGCAGGACGTGAGAGAAGGAGAGCAACCAAGGGCGTGATGGCAAGGTTATGGCTGAGGTTCTGTTGAGGAGAGTTGCCATTAACTAAGATGGTCAACTTAATATGTTCCAAGCATGACACACAATGCTTCACTTGAATTACTTAATTGACTCTCCCCCAACTCCACAAGGTTGAGCCTAGTGCCCTGTCAGTCCATGCAGTGGGTAGATAAAATTAATGGGCAAAACTATGAAGGCAAGTCTGACTTACTTTACTGGTCAAATGTGTGGCTTCTTAGCTCAAATATTGGTTGCACCATTTTCCTGCTACCCTGTCTGGGACAGTTGATTTCATCATTGCTCCAGTTATGGCAGCAGAACAAGCCACCCCACTCCTCACAAGTCATATGAATATTATCGCTCATGGTCCTGGGGATGGCAGGCCTCAGTCGGACAGTTTTCCCTCGGAGCCCTTTGTGCAACTACAGTCAGGCTGGGATGGGGTCACCACCGTGACTTCCTCACGAGAGTGTCTGGTGCCACAGCTAGGCAGACTCAAACTGATAGCACTAGGACAGCTGGGATTCCCTGAGGCTCTCTCTGCCCTTGTGTGTCTCCCACTTGGGATCTGCAGCACATGGCTTCCAGGCAGCCCGACTGTCAGGGAGATGCAGGCCTCCAAAGGCACAGGTCCCGAGAGAGACAGTGCCAGGAGAATGCTACACCACTATCCCGATCCAACCTCAGAAGTCACAGGGGACATCTCGACCTCATTGTATTCTGCAGAATCAAGTTGCTAATCTCAGTCCATATTCTAGGGACAGGGAATTAAACTCACATCTTCAATAATTTGAAGACGTTTTTAAACCACTACAACAACTTTTGACCCTCAGTTCCTCACCTGTACAGTAAGAAAGATGACAAAAAATGACAGTTGGCCTCAAAGGGTTATTACAAGGATGAAATGAGATAATTTAGGTAAAGCATTTATTTATATAGCATTCTATATATAGTGTGTACACACACACACGCACACACACACACAATTAGTCATTTCATTTAAATCAAAATGAAGTAATTTTCTAGTTAATAACCTGCTTTTCCCAGATCGTCAGACATCCATCTAAGTTTTGGCTCAGATGTTCTAGATTCTTTGAAGGTACCAGCCAGTCCAGAAGGAGCTCCCAGCTGAGCTGCACCTGGCTCAGCTTGGGCGTCCGGCCCTCCAGGTTCTGATCCACACCTGGCACATCGAGTTTAATTCACTGCTGCTTTGTTAGTGAAATCAATTGCCAAGCACAGGTCTCCAGCTTTCAGCCAAGTTCCGTACCCCTCCCAACCACTCCCATCCTCCATCTCCTCCCAAAAACCATGTCAAAAGAGGTAAAATAACAAGTCATTAGAACCAGTGCTTGAGGATCCTGACAAATAGCAAGCCCCCATCTTGCAGCTGGGAGACATTCTGACATTTGAAACAGGTCCTCAGTCCGCTCCTATGCTTTGCTGCATCACCTCTCTGGCTTCCTGAGCCCTAGCAGGTGGCAGAGAATCCCCAGACTGCCCTGCTGAGACAATCTCCATGTGCCCTAGGGTTCTCTGAATAGCTCACTCTTTGTTTCCTATCTAGCAGAAGTGGGATCACACAGAGTACCCCAGTACCAAAGTCATGGTCCTGCTTACCACCTGCCAAACCTCCAACCTGCTTATCTACCCAGCCATCCACCAATCCAGCCACCTAGTTCTCCAATTATTCACCCATCCATTCATCTACCCATCTATCCATCTACTCATCTATCCATGTAGCCACCCACCCACTCATTCTTTCATCTATTTGCCCATCCATCCATCTATACACCAACCTCCCTGTCCACCCATTCCAACATCCAACCAACTATCCATCCATTTACCAGCCCAACCCTTTCTACCCATCATACCATTCATCTTCTTAATCAGGCAATAGACATTTAATAGGAATCTACTAGTCATTCATGTATTCATTCATTTATCCAGCAAGCATCTATTAGCTGCTACTATTAATTGGTTCAAGAAACCAACATATGTAGAGAATTTAATATCTCATTCATTTGTGCAGCAATGAGTACCTTCTGTTTATGCATTCACTTAATAGTGGTTGGGCAGCCATCATTTATTCATTCATTCAACAAACATTTGTACAACTACTACTCAGTCAGCCAGCAAGTTAGAGTTGATTGAGCACTACTAATGATCATGATCATTGTTCTAGGCACTCGGGGCACTGTGATGATTAGGATAAATTGCATATCTTTAAGCAACAGTCTAATCAAGAAAACAGACTCATCAATATATCACTGTTTCTGCAGGAAACAGGACATCACTGAAGATACCCATGAAATGTGGATGGGCTCTAAGAAGGCATACAAAATCCAGCCTGGAAGTTTTAGGAAGGCTTCCTGAAGGAGTCACATGAGCTCTAACTCACCTGTGGGTCACCTTAAATCCCAGCTGTCTTCTAGCTCTGTGAATTCCATCTGAATGTCAGTTTTCTGGAGAAAATAGTGATTGCCACATAGAATTGTGAAGAGCGAGGCATATGTGGTTGGTTATTGATCAAAGTGTTGTTCTTGCTCCTTACAGTTAAAGCATGGCTTCTCCTTAGCCAAGAAGAAGCAGGAAAGACCTGGAGCCAAGACCCAGAAGCCAGAAAGTCTTATTGAGCACAGAGTAGGGCATGGCGACTAAAAGGAACATAAGGTTGCTTCAAGAAGCAGTGAGAGAAGGAAGGAACTGGGGAAAATATGGGTCGAGGAGCACAGACCAGAATAGAGTGGGAACTATCTGGAAAGGGAAACTCTTGGGCCCAATCCCAGCCCTATAGGATGAGTAACCTGCAATGTTCACAAGTGCTCCAGGTGACTGTGATACACCCAAGTTTGGGTGTCTTGAGACTGGTCTCTGGGAGTTATATTGCAGGGAGGAGGGTGGGAGGGACCCAGCCAGGTTTCCACGAAGAGTTGTTTGTCAACAGATTTGTTTTCCTGACCAAATAATAAAATACCATTAGTTGCAAGTTGTTGACAGGGGAACAGGGAGCCAGGAGTGTAGGTAGCCGAGACGAAAATCCAGCTCTCCCGCCAGGTCCCATGGAAGGGTTGGGGACAGAGGTCCAGGTGAGGAAGGCTTGCTGTGAAACCCTGGCCTCCGGAAGACAAGGGGGAGCTTCTGGAACAGAGCCGAGGGTACCAAGCCAGGGAGCTGCCAGTTCTGGGGCTCGGCCGCCCCCATGTCCCCAGCCTCCGCTTGTCACACACGGATGTCACAGGAAACAATGTGCCTTTGCTAGCCGCCCTGGCTGCGTGGGTGGAGGCCTGGCGTCAGGCATCACAATGATTCTCATTTCCTAGGAAACAGGGAGTTGCAATGGTACCTTTGCTGGGAGCCTCCGCATTTGGAGCAGTCATGTGACACTGGAAGCTATTTTTAGCCTCCCTGGCCCTGTGTTGTAGGAAGAATGATTTGATGAAAATACTAAACTCATTAAAGCCTGGGGGATGGGGAGGGAGGAGGGGCTGCCAGAGCTGGGAGGCTGCAGCCTCCAAGATTCAGTCCCTGCTGTGCTGCAGCTCAGAGGTAAGGACAGCTGTGAGCTGGCCCTTCCCTGGGGTCTGAACCCAGGGGAGCAGGTGGGGGCAGAGACTGAGGACTCCCTGACCTGGTATTGCTGTTTCCTTCTATAGGTCGGGCACTGTGCTTGAGGTGTTACCTGTATGACTTTTATTTCCACATCACGGTACTAGAAAACAAAAACTAACACCATCCCGTTTTGCAGATAAGGAAATTGAGGCTCACACGGCTTAAAGATCATGTTCTAGGTGATCAGGAGGAGCTGGGAATCCAGGATTCAAACCAGGTCCCCTGACCCTGCCAGAGGGACCCCCATCTCTACCCACTAGCTGTTTGAAGCAGGAACAGGACCACCTCGTGTGCACATGACCCAAGCAGCCCCTGGGCCCACACTTAGCAGGGCCCCACACTCAGTTTAATGCACTATTGCCACCATCTTGAAATTCTCAGTCATTGTTTAACAAGGGGTCGTATTTTTGTTTTGTACAGTGTCCAACAAATTGTGCAGCAGGTCACGCTGGAGAATTCTCTGGCCCTCTGTGCCAGCTATTCTATCTGCATCCTATACGACCTTCTCAGTTTATTTTTTATTTCAAGATGTTCGTGAAGAAGATCCAGTCACACAGACATGGGTTCTTATCCCAGCTCTGCTCTTCATAGCTCTGTGCCACTGAGGCCTGCTGCTCCATTCTGAGCCTCGATTTCTTCATCTGTAAAATGAAGACAATAATAGTTCCTTCCTCATTTCTTTACCACAAAGATGAAATATAACTTTGTGGCGAGCACCCGCTGGGTGCCGGGTATGCAGCAGATCCTCACTGAAGGCTCGTTATTGCTGTGAGGAAAGACAGTCATCATTTTGTGGCTTTGCCCTGCCTGCAGACACAGGGCCTTTCCTGCTCTGCCCAGTCTCTCTGTGTTGAGTTCTCCAAGGGGGTGTGGCATGGCCTTCTGAATCTGCCTGAGGCATTGGCCACGGAGGTATTCTCTTTTGCAGCCTCCCTCCATCAATGTTCATTGGCTGGACTCTCTTGAGGGCAACTTCAGTTGTGCCCCCAGTGCTAAGACTGCTGTGTGGACCCCAACATCAAGACCAAGAGTGTATGTGAATCACCATCATCAAGGACTTGAATCCTCCAAGTCCCAAGAAGCCCTGGGTTCCAGCTGACTTGAGGAGGCATTCTTAGCCCCATCCCATTATTATCAAAGCCATCCAGATCTAATGTCCTACTCATACTAGCCCTGTGAGGTAGGTATGAAGAATGGTGCCCATTTTACAAATGCAGAAGAATGAGTATGGCAAAGAAAGCAACTTGCCCAAGGGCCCTGCCAGAAAGTGGTACCGCCAGGATCAGAAATCAAGCCTCACTCTAAGTCCAGTGTGAATATCATGTCTGCCTTATGCTAAGCAGAAGGCCCATTCCCTCATCCCACAGGAAAGGGTGACTCCAGCTTTCACTGTTGCCCCTTCCTCCAGCCAACTCAGAGCCCCACCTGGACAAACAGGCCAAGATCCTTGTATCCACCCAGCAGACAACAGTGTAGGGAAGCCCTGCCTTTGGCCAAATGCTTTAAATATCTGAAAACCAACTCCTGGCAGACCTGCCCACAATTCCCCAACTAGGCTGAACTCTTCAGTTTCAGGTGGCATGCCCTGCTAGGAAAATTGGGGAGGAAAAGCTAGAGAAGGTGCTGACATGAGGAAGGCTTACTCCAGTCAGAGATTTGCCCTTCATTAGGAATGATGCAGGTTTTCAGGGTGAAGGCCAATGGATGCCTGGAGGTCATGTGCAGAATCATATCTTTGCCTTTGATGTCCAGGACTCAGAGCCCATATTGAGCCTGAAGTGCCTCACCTAAGCCCAATACCCAAAGGCTTCTTAAGCAAGCACCCCAACCCTCTGTCCATGGGAACTCCTGGCCTCAGGAGCAAGTGCCCATGCAGAGAATCACAGTGAACACCCCAGGAGTAGCCTCAAGCAATGACAAATGGGAGATAGAGATCAAATACCCACCTTCCTCACATCTCAAGTGAGATAATTCCAAGGCATGTTCCACGATTTCTCCCAGGAGACCCAGTAGCATTAACTTGCTTATTAACATACCCCACTTTGGCAGCTTCCCCTTCCTGTCTCATCCCACACCTACCAGGGTTTTTTAGGTCCTCTCAAATTTTTACCTCAGAATCTGCTTCTGAGGAAACCCAGACTAACACAGAAAACATTCACTTACTCTTTCATTCTTTCATGCCACAGGTCCTCTGTACATTTCTGCCATTGTATGAACAGATCACTTAGTCAGCATTTTTGGAGCACCTATGTGGGCCTCCATCTTAGACCTCTCGGAGGCGATGAACAGGAAAAAGCACACACTCTTCTGTGGAGAGTGCCCCAGGCACCCAGCCCAGGGCAGAGTCTTCCTTTACATGGGCAATGAAATTGCTATTATTAGCCTCCTTTTCAGAGAGGGAGCTGAACTCTCAGGGAATTGAAGGGGTTTTCCAAGGTGACACAGCAAGTGCGATGCAACACCAGGATTCCTGCAAGGTCTGTGAAAATCTTGAGTCTGCCGGATCTTGGCTTAGCTGTTAGGTGGGTTATCCTCTCCACCACCCAGCAGACTCCCTTCACCAGGCAAGTGGCCACTGCCATTATTTCATCTGCAATGGACATGTTTATACCAAAGGAACTCAGGCTCAGTCAATTCCCCACTCCATGTGTGTACCCGTGTTCCCTTCCCCTGGAATCTAGGAAGCCTTCCAAGTCTGGGTCATAAAAGGCTATACGCCCATCACTTAGTTCTCCTGGGACAATTGCTCTTAGAACCCAGCCACCATGCTGTGAGGAAGCCCAAGTGGCATCACCACGGGACTCACCTCAGCTCTTGCTGTGCTCCCAGCTCACAACCAGCACCTACCGCCGACCACTGGTGTGAGTCATCTTCAAAGTCCTTCTTCCAACCCCAGTTAAGCTGCCTCCACCTTCACCACATGGAATTCAGAAAAGTTTTCCCACTGAACCCCACCCAAACTACAGACTTATGAGCAAAATATAGATGGCTATCCTTTTAAGTAGCTACGCCTACAGTGCTCTGTTAGTAGTAGTTAGTAGCACTGGATAACTGATTCAGAGACACAAAGGGACTTGCTCAGGATCACACAGATGGCCAGTGGGACTAAGCCTTGAACCAAAGTCCTTAGCATCCTGGGGCAGTTTTGCTCACTTTAACAATACTTATTTAACAGATGAGGGCTCAGAGAAGCTAAATAGCACACTCAAAGTCACATAGCAAATGTTACAGGTTGAATTGTGTTACCCCCAAAATATATGTTAAAATACTAACCTCCAGTACTTCAAATTGTGACCTCATTTGGAGATCAGGTTTTTACAGAGGTAATCAAATTAAGATGAGGCCATTAGGCCCTAGTATGGTTGAAGTCCTTATAAAAATGGGAAATCTGAACACAGAGACACGGCACCGAGGATCTAAAGGCATAAAGAGTATGTCATCTCCAAGCCACAGAGTCAACTCTGCTGACATGGATTTCAGACCTCCAGACAATAAATTTCATTTAAGTCACCCCCGTCTGGCATTTTGTTTCAGCAGCCCTAGGAAATAAACTCAGCTAGTAAATCAGAGTCTAACAGAGTGCACCTAAACTCCTAACAATTATGTTCTACTGCCTGTATCCATAGGCATTCTGGAAGGCTTCCTGGAGGAAGTGACACTTAAGTCCTGAGGTATGTATAGGAGTTGACTTAGAGGTGATGGAAGGGAAAAGTGTTCTCTGTAGCAGGGGGCAGCTTAGAGTGCCAGGAGACCAGCTGGAGGACTGAAGAAGCGCCAGTGGCTGGAACAGGCTGCCTGTGGTGAGGGCACAGGCTAGAGCAGTGCCTGGAGGCAGGATGAGGATGGCCTTTGTTAATCCAGCAGGCAGGCTGCTTGGATGATGTCCAGAGGTCAGTGGGGAGCCATCTGCCTTTTTCTTCTGTGTCTTGTCACCCCAGCAGGATTTCTCTAAGAACATTTCACACCCTCCTCCTTGGAGCCTGGAAGTGAGGAAAATGGTGGGTTTGTGCTCAGCAGGAGAGGTACTATCTTTGCAAAGCCCCCTTAGGTCTGGGAATTAAGGGCTTCTGCTGCTGGCTTCCACCCTGCAGGCGCCCCACAAAGTCACATCACTGCCAAGTGTGAATCCAAATAAAGAAAGGCTTCCACTGAGCTTGGGGGAGGGGGCAGAAGTTCCCTTACAAGATTCTTTCCCCGGGAAGACCCCCTTAGGAGGCACTAGGTGGACTCCTCAGGTTCTTCCTGTAAATGGGAAGGTTTCTAGATTAACAGCTCGCCATCCCCATGGATTCCGGGCCTGTAAAGAGTTGTTCTTTTACTCTTATTCTCTCTGAGCAAGGCCCCATGATGTCAGAAGACTTTCTCCTACCACCTCCCCAGCCCCCAAAAGGTTGCTTCTATGTCTCCCTACATTCCTTCTAGATCCAAATTCCTCAGCCAAGTCAGAGTTCTGAAGTATCCCTGGGTCAACATCCCCACCCCAGACTCCTGAGTGGCTCCTGCCACCACTGATAGCCACTGCCTGGACTGTACCCTGATCCTTGACCAACTAATGTTGTCAACAAACTTCACCCATGTATCTGTTATAGGACAGCCCTGATATTGAACGGGTTGCCTGGCT